TGACTCAAGGATCCCGGAGAGAAATATATGAGCGTTTCCTACAACTAGGGCGAATTTTTGGGCGTTTATAATCAGAAGAGGGTTTTGGGGCATATCATACTCTAATTATAATTAATAATAACTGTGCGCCCAAATAGTATTGGTAATTATTTAGGCCCCTATATTCGGGCTACCTCATTGAGCGGTCGGTGAGAGCACAGCACAGGCATCGCACCGGCAAAAGGGAAACCCCAAATTGCCAAATCGCGTGCCTCAAATTGCTAGGATTCTAGGATCCCTGGCCGAAGGTGAACCTCAATAACAACCTTGGTAGAACATCGGCACCAGCCAACCGTTGGTTTAATGGTTACCCACGCAGCCACCGAGAAATCCAGCATTTTAGTAATTAAGCCCCACAGTTGTCGCCAAGATTCAGAGCGCTCTGCCACTGGCTGCCGCGCTTGCATGCAGCGATAGCGGCATTCAGGCAAACGACCTCAATAGGCGAGACCTCCCAGCCCTAAACCCCAAACCCGTAGGCCCTACACGGCCCTACACCCTGCCAAGCTCAAACTACTCCAAGCCGTTTTATTCAACCCTAAACCCTTCTAAAAGCCCAACCCTACACCCTAATCTAAACCCTCAAACCACAAAAGCCCGAAACCCTAAACCCCTGATGCCTAAAACTGGGTGATTGAGGGCCTTCATATAGTTCAATAGGATTTTGAGGTCTATTGACACTAGAAGTATCAGGACCCCTACGGACTAACGTTGGTAACTTTCCAAGCTTCTACAATCGCCGCTAGGGTTGGGGGAACTGGGAGTCTGTGGGTGAGTTTGGGCCCGCTGTCCACGGATTGGTGCCCTGCACAGAACAGGGTTCAGGCTTTCGAAACCCTAAACCCTAAACTCTCAAGTTTAGGGTTTAAGGTTTAAGGCTCGGGTTCTATGCTCTGGTGATTCTCGACCAGCTGCAGCAGAATCAACGACTTCTTGCATGCGTAAGAGCCACAATGCCTAAAGGACAATTTTCCAAACCCCGATAAGCCCGTATAAAAACCCTCAGACACCCTATAAACAGTCGAGACTAAGCCCTAAACTTAAACCCTAAACCCCGAAACCCCTAGACCCTAAACCCCCAAACCCCTAGACCCCAAACCCCTAAACCCCTAAACCCCTAGACCCTAAACCCCTAAACCCCTAAACCCCTAAACCCTAAGTGATGAACGGCCCACTCTCTGTGCCTTGCATACCAGGCTTACGGCATGGGTGAAGAGCTCAGGATTCTTGGGTTCCCCGGTGAGTTCCGGAACTAAGGGTACCTTTTCAGGGTTTAGGGTTTAGGGTTTAGGGTTTAGGGTTTAGAGTTTAGGGTTTAGAGTTTAGGGTTCAGAGCTTGGGGTGCTGGGGTAGTACATTACAATCAATTGTCGTATCTTCTGGGGAGCTATACGGGCATCTTCCTTCTTTGCTGCACTATGCATGGACAAGGCGTCTAGGGCCTTTTAGGGTAGGATACCCGAGCCTCGGAAGCGGCGAAATAGCTCAAGGACCGACCCTAAACCCTAAACCCT